CACGTACAGCCCATGTTTTTGTCTTGAGCTAATCTTAAACTCTCGCCTTCGATTCTCCTAGCTTGACTAGGATTGTCTTCAACAGACCTTGAACACCGTAAGCCCCTGTATCTCATGCCTGGAAGGAACTTAGCAGCACCAAGAGCCCTTGAGCGTACCTTGAACACGTTAAAGCCCTCCTTGTCATGCCTGTGAGTCGCTGCTATAAGCCCTTCAACGAGCGCACCTTGAACACCTTAAGGCCCCTCTTCTCGTGGCGGTCAGCCGCCTGCACTATGAGGCGCCACGCCTCCTCCGTGACAAACTGGTTGCCGTCGAACGCCAGCACCCACTGCGCGCCCTCCCGCCGCCCGTGCTCCAACATGAAATTGCGCGCCTCGTTCTGCGCTGGGGGGGGTTGGACGGGGGCGGGGAGGGGGGGAGAGTGGGAAGAGAGGGGCGCACAAGAGAAGAGTTGAAGTGCATAGCCCTATGAAATAGAAGTTTCCTTGTCAAGGATGTGACTGCATGAGCGTTATAGCATCAAGCACAGTTATGCAAGCATGAGACTACACCAAAGCATGCAACATGCTATTGGTTAGTTACGAGTGAAAGAGTGTTACCGGTGACGGCAATGGTCCACAGCGAGGGGTCGAGAGTGGCGATGAGGGAAAGATTGAGCGCGCGAATGAGAATGTCCTGAGGGGGAGGGGCGTAGTGTGGTGCACGGGTTATACAAGGGGTGGTGGGAGATAAAGAATGGGAATGTGTGAGGTGAGACCATAGGATGGAATGAGATAAGCTGGGAGAGTAAGATGGTGAGAAAGATGGCGCAATAGGAAGGGGCCGCATGGTACAAATTGCCATGCATCACGACACATAAGCACATGATGAAACCACAATAGATGCAAGGAAAACACAAGAAGCCCATCCTCCCATCCAGCAGCACCCATGCATGCAGAACACGTGCATGCAGAACATGTGCATGCAGAACACGTGCATGCAGAACACATGCATGCAGAACACGTGCATGCAGAACACGTGCCTGCAGAACACGTGCATGCAGAACACGTGCATGCAGAACACATGCATGCAGAACACGTGCATGCAGAACAAGTGCATGCAGAACACGTGCCTCGCCTTTGGCCGCCCGATCCCTCACCACCTGCACGGCAGCCCTCAGCGCGCTTCCATGCACCACCCACAGCCGCCCACGTGGCTTACCACCCACAGGCGCTGCCCCGTTTCCCTCCGCACTCACTTGACCACCTTGTCTTGTCCTCCCCACCTCCCTACGAGAGTGCACCGCAGCCACCAGCGCGCTGTCATCCACCGCATGGCTCCCACAGCCGTAGATCCCCTCGTCCGCCCACCCCCAGCCCCAGCACACATCTCGTCCGCCAGCCCCCAGCACGCACCTCGTCCCCCAGCACACACCTCGTCCCCCAGCACACACCTCGTCCGCCAGCACACACCTCGTCCGCCAGCACACACCTCGTCCGCCAGCACACACCTCGTCCGCCAGCACACACCTCGTCCCCCAGCACACACCTCGTCCGCCAGCACACACCTCGTCCGCCAGCACACACCTCGTCCGCCAGCACACACCTCGTCCGCCAGCACACACCTCGTCCGCCAGCACACACCTCGTCCGCCAGCACACACCTCGTCCCCCAGCACACACCTCGTCCGCCAGCACACACCTCGTCCGCCAGCACACACCTCGTCCGCCAGCACACACCTCGTCCGCCAGCACACACCTCGTCCACCAGCACACACCTCGTCCGCCAGCACACACCTCGTCCGCCAGCACGCACCTCGTCCGCCAGCACACACCTCGTCCGCCAGCACACACCTCGTCCGCCAGCACACACCTCGTCCGCCAGCACACACCTCGTCCGCCAGCACACACCTCGTCCCCAGCACACACCTCGTCCGCCAGCACACACCTCGTCCGCCAGCACACACCTCGTCCGCCAGCACACACCTCGTCCGCCAGCACACACCTCGTCCGCCAGCACACACCTCGTCCGCCAGCACGCACCTCGTCCGCCAGCACACACCTCGTCCGCCAGCACACACCTCGTCCGCCAGCACACACCTCGTCCGCCAGCACACACCTCGTCCGCCAGCACACACCTCGTCCGCCAGCACACACCTCGTCCACCAGCACACACCTCGTCCGCCAGCACACACCTCGTCCGCCAGCACGCACCTCGTCCGCCAGCACACACCTCGTCCGCCAGCACACACCTCGTCCGCCAGCACACACCTCGTCCGCCAGCACACACCTCGTCCGCCAGCACACACCTCGTCCCCCAGCACACACCTCGTCCGCCAGCACACACCTCGTCCCCCAGCACACACCTCGTCCGCCAGCACACACCTCGTCCGCCAGCACACACCTCGTCCGCCAGCACACACCTCGTCCGCCAGCACACACCTCGTCCGCCAGCACACACCTCGTCCGCCAGCACACACCTCGTCCGCCAGCACGCACCTCGTCCGCCAGCACACACCTCGTCCGCCAGCACACACCTCGTCCGCCAGCACACACCTCGTCCGCCAGCACACACCTCGTCCGCCAGCACACACCTCGTCCGCCAGCACACACCTCGTCCCCCAGCACACACCTCGTCCGCCAGCACACACCTCGTCCGCCAGCACACACCTCGTCCGCCAGCACACACCTCGTCCGCCAGCACACACCTCGTCCCCCAGCACACACCTCGTCCGCCAGCACACACCTCGTCCGCCAGCACACACCTCGTCCGCCAGCACACACCTCGTCCGCCAGCACACACCTCGTCCGCCAGCACACACCTCGTCCGCCAGCACACACCTCGTCCGCCAGCACACACCTCGTCCACCAGCACACACCTCGTCCGCCAGCACACACCTCGTCCGCCAGCACGCACCTCGTCCGCCAGCACACACCTCGTCCGCCAGCACGCACCTCGTCCGCCAGCACACACCTCGTCCGCCAGCACACACCTCGTCCGCCAGCACACACCTCGTCCGCCAGCACACACCTCATCCGCCAGCACACACCTCGTCCGCCAGCACACACCTCGTCCGCCAGCACACACCTCGTCCGCCAGCACGCACCTCGTCCGCCAGCACACACCTCGTCCGCCAGCACACACCACGTCCGCCAGCACACACCTCGTCCCCCAGCACGCCCCTGGTCCCCTGGCAGTGCGCACCTCGTCATTGAACCCGTGGTCCCTCATGATCTGGACGGTGGCGGCCTGCCACCCAGAGGCGAAGAGCCTTCTCTTCCCCCCCTCGCCCCCCTTCGCCCCTCGCCCCTCGCCCCTCGCCCCTCGCCCCTCGCCCCTCGCCCCTCGCCCCTCGCCCCTCGCCCCTCGCCCCTCGCCCCTCGCCCCTCGCCCCTCGCCCCTCGCCCCTCGCCCCTCGCCCCTCGCCCCTCGCCCCTCGCCCCTCGCCCCTCGCCCCTCGCCCCTCGCCCCTCGCCCCTCGCCCCTCGCCCCTCGCCCCTCGCCCCTCGCCCCTCGCCCCTCGCCCCTCGCCCCTCGCCCCTCGCCCCTCGCCCCTCGCCCCTCGCCCCTCGCCCCTCGCCCCTCACCCCTCGCCCCTCACCCCCCGCCACGCACCTGGTCGTTGACGCCATGGTCCTTGAGCGCCTTGACGGTGGCGGCCTGCGTGGTGGCGTTGACGAGGTGGTTGAGCACCCAGAGGCGGCGGCAGCCCGGCAGGTGGGGGGGCTCGTGCTGCAGCGAGTAGAGCGTGTTGCGCAGCAGCTGCTCCCCGCACTGCAGCGGCGCCATGTCGTTGCCCAGCAGCCGGTACAGCAAGAATCGCGCGCGCGCACGTTGGGTGGAAGGGGAAAGGGCGAGCGGAGGCGAGGGGAGAAGGGGGTTGATGAGGAATTGGAGACGACGGGGGAGGCGGGGAGCGAGGAGGGGGAGAGAGCGGGGAGCAGTGAGGAGGAAGGGGGTGGAGGATGGAGGGGAGAGGAAGGTGGTGATGAGGGAGGTGCAAGCGAGAGGGTGGAATGTGGGGGAGAGGGTGCGAGCAGGGGTGGGGGGGCCGAGGGGAGGCTGGCCGGGTGAGAGGGGTTGTGGGGCGGAGGGGCGTGGTGCCTTGAGTGGCCTCTGCCTCTGCGTCAACACCCCTCCCACCATCCTTGCTTTCCCCGCCACCGGCACTGCTGTCACTGTCTCCTGCATCACTGGCCGCACTGCCGAGATTTGACTGCGCCTCATCTGCACGTGCACGTGCCACCCCTCGTCCCGCTTGCACGCCGCCCTCCTCTTTCACCTCCTCGTCTTCTCCCGCCCCTTCCTCCCCTGTCTCCCACGCTCTCTCCTCACTCCATTCTCCTGCATTCCTCTCCCTCTCTACCGCCTCCTCCCCCCTCCACTCTCCTTCCTTCTCCCCCACTTCCCCGTCCGCCATCTCCGCTCTGCCCACAATTCCGTTCCCCGCGCCGTCGCCTGCCTCTACCTCTCCGCGCGTCCATTCCTCTCCGCCCACCTCCTTTCCGCCGCCCGCCTCGTCCTCTTCCCCCAGTTCCCTCGTGCTGCGCGCGCGCGGGGCAGCGCAGGGGCTGAAGGCCGGCGCAAGGGGCGCGGGGAGCGTGAGGAGCGTGAGCGCGAGGGTGTAGAGCAGGCAGAGAGCGGCTGCGCGCTTGAGCGCGCGCGGGGGCGAGAGGCGGCGGCGGAGGGCGTAGTGGAGGGCGACGAGGGCGAGGCAGAGAGAGGAGAGCACGCCGAGCACGAGGAGAGGGGCAGCAGTGCGCAGGAGGGAGGGGGAGCGGCGGGCATTGCGCGCGTGCGGAGGGGGAAAGCGGGGAGGGTGATCGGAGGGAAGAGCTGAGCGCGCGGACAAGGCTGGCGTTTGTTCCGCGATGCAACGTGCCGCCGTGGGTTGCAAGGTGAAGCCGTGGATTGCATCATTTGAGACCATGTGCGAGGGTGCACTGCACCTCGTGTATGAGCTTGCTCCGGACATTCTCACATGTCGTTGTCTAGCTTGCGTGTTCTTTTGTGTGAGCTGTCAATTGCTGCAAGCACTTCTGCTCATGCAAAAGAATGGGATAAAAGCACTGCACTTCCACGCTCTCTTTATACACAAGCTATATTACAAGCCAGCAAGCACAGCACAGCCCAGTGCAGCTCGTGCCTGGCCTACCCGCTCCTCCCATGGATGGAGCGCCATGTGCGCGCCTTCTCAAACCCGTTCGCCCCATTCCGGTAGTCACTCATGGCCTGCCGGATCTCCGCCTCTGTGTTCATCACAAACGGCCCGTGCTGCACCACCGCCTCGCCTATGGGCCGCCCCGCTATCAGCACGAAGCGGCATTCCTCCTCCCCCTTGTTCCACACGTACACACCGTCCCCCGCCCCCAGCACCACGGTGTGGTGCGCGCCCGCGGGCTCTGCATCTGCATCCCCGATGGTGGTTTCCCCCGAGAGCGTGTAGATGAACGCGTTCCACCCGGCGGGGATGGGCTGCGCGAGGTGCGCGGCGGGGGCGAGGCGGAAGGCGAGGTAGGAGGTGGGCGTGCGCGTGACCACGGGCGAGGACACGCCCAGCGCCGAGCCCGCGATGACGGCCACGTGCACGCCATCGCGGCACGCCTTGGGGATGTCGGCATCCTTCAACTCCTGGTACGCTGATGGCACCCTGGAGAGGGGGGTGGGGAGAGGCAAGGCGAAGGCGGTTCAGGCGAGGCAGAAAAGCGGGATGCGGTATGAACCCCAAGAGCACAGGCAGCGCAGGTGCCAGAACCCAAGTGATCAGCACATGACGTGGTGGCGGGGGGTGGGCACGCACAACAAACAGCTGCCGCCAATCCCTCTAACTCCAGCACACCATGGCATGGTGCAGGCGCACAGCACACCATGGCATGGTGCAGGCGCACGACGCACATCCCCAACAGCACAGAGGGAAACAAAGCGCGGGCTCATGCTGTAGTGCAGCCCACCATTTCGTGTCACTCACACTTGTGCTGATGAGGGCGACACAGAGGCACATGCCAACACACTGGCATGTTGACATGAGTGGAAACATGGGCACGTGTCAGCGCACTCACATCTTGTCCCCAGCACTCACATCTTGTCTTTGGCCGCCAGGTTGACCCACAGCTGCAGCCCGTGGGTTGGCCCCTCGCCAGGCATTTCAGAGTGCACCACGCCCCTGCCAGCTGTCATCCACTGATTCGACGGATTATGGGAGAAAGGGAGGGAACGGGAGGAAGGAATGCGATTGGTTTATAGTTGGAGAGGCTTAGGGTGGCGCTGGTACGACGGTAGAGGGACAACACACGAGGCATGGAAAGCAGCAGAGCACTGTTGGCAAGCAGCAAGGTGAGTGAGGAAGGAGAGTGTGCGTTGATTGAGGAAAGGCGCACACAGAGGCCAGTTTAGCATGACCAGCTCAATCCATCACAGGCAAACTCACCGCCCCACCTGTCGTCACATGCTCCCATCACCCACCACCCATAACCACGCACTACCACACAGCACCCACCTGCACGTCGCCTGCATGCAGCTGGCCCTTGTGGCCGTTAAAGTCCTCGTGCACGAACGAGCCCTGCTCACGTGGCATGCCGGGGGGCGTCATCGGGAAGGGATAGTGAGAGGGCGGTTATGAGGAGGTGCCACTGACAACAATAAGAACATACTTTTTGAGAGCCCATGGAAAGAGTTGTGGTGACGGCAAAGGGTGCCAATGAGGATTGCCGCGATGGCAGGGCGTGGCGGCTGGAACGCCACCCACCTGAATGAGGTACGAGACCCACCTGAATGAGGTAGGAGACCCACCTGAATGAGGTACGAGACCCACCTGAATGAGGTAGGAGACCCACCTGAATGAGGTACGAGACCCACCTGAATGAGGTACGAGATCCACCTGAATGAGGTACGAGACCCACCTGAATGAGGTACGAGACGGTCTCAAAGCCTCGGTGCGGGTGATCCGGGAAGCCCGCAGCCGAGTCAGAGGCTGCCATGCAGCACACCGGAGCACGGGGGAAGGCGGGGGTTTGGGGGGGGGGGGGGGGTGGGGGGGGAAGAAGAGGGGGACGCAATTGAGGGGAGAGGAATAAGGGGGAAGGAGAGTGGAAAGCAGAGCGTGTGAAGGAGCGTAAAATTCGGCACAGTTTGTGTTGAATTCACCGTGAACGGCATGAGCCTCGTTGCTGAGCGCGTGCGAGTCGTGCCTTGTCGCGCATGCCGCGCAGCGCGTAGCGTGCGGCATGCGGGGAGGCGGGGTGTGCGGCGCACCTTCGAACTCGTCGAGCATGAGGAACGGGTCCAACTGCCGCAGCTCGGGCCTGCTCCCGGCGCCATGCGCCCGCCGCCGTGCACGGGTGGGCGGGGGGGAAGAGGGGAAGGGGAAAGGGGAAGGGGAAAGGGGAAGGGGAAAGGGGAAGGGGAAAGGGGAAGGGGAAAGGGGAAGGGGAAAGGGGAAGGGGAAAGGGGAAGGGGAAAGGGGAAGGGGAAAGGGGAAGGGAAAGGGGAAGGGGAAAGGGGAAGGGGAAAGGGGAAGGGGAAAGGGGAAGGGGAAAGGGGAAGGGGAAAGGGGAAGGGGAAAGGGGAAGGGGAAAGGGGAAGGGGAAAGGGGAAGGGGAAAGGGGAAGGGGAAAGGGGAAGGGGAAAGGGGAAGGGGAAAGGGGAAGGGGAAAGGGGAAGGGAAAGGGGAAGGGGAAAGGTGAAGGGGAAAGGGGAAGGGGAAAGGGAAGGGGAAAGGGGAAGGGGAAAGGGGAAGGGGAAAGGGGAAGGGGAAAGGGGGTACTCGAGAAGTGAGGGGTGTGGGCAAGCAGGGAGTAAGGCGAGGGAAGGGCGGTGCAGGAGGCGAGTAGAAAGCAGGGATAAGAGGGGCAAGGGACGGCAGGGATAAGAGGGCAAGGGACGGCAGGGATAAGAGGGGCAAGGGACGGCAGGGATAAGAGGGGCAAGGGACGGCAGGGATAAGAGGGCAAGGGACGGCAGGGATAAGAGGGGCAAGGGACGGCAGGGATAAGAGGGGCAAGGGACGGCAGGGATAAGAGGGGCAAGGGACGGCAGGGATAAGAGGGGCAAGGGACGGCAGGGATAAGAGGGGCAAGGGACGGCAGGGATAAGAGGGGCAAGGGACGGCAGGGATAAGAGGGGCAAGGACGGCAGGGATAAGAGGGGCAAGGGACGGCAGGGATAAGAGGGGCAAGGGACGGCAGGGATAAGAGGGCAAGGGACGGCAGGGATAAGAGGGCAAGGGACGGGGGGGGGGGGAGCAGGGATAAGAGGGGCAAGGGACGGCAGGGATAAGAGGGGCAAGGGACGGCAGGGATAAGAGGGGCAAGGACGGCAGGGATAAGAGGGGCAAGGGACGGCAGGGATAAGAGGGGCAAGGGACGGCAGGGATAAGAGGGGCAAGGGACGGCAGGGATAAGAGGGGCAAGGGACGGCAGGGATAAGAGGGGCAGGGACGGCAGGGATAGAGGGGCAAGGGACGGCAGGGATAAGAGGGGCAAGGGACGGCAGGGATAAGAGGGGCAAGGGACGGCAGGGATAAGAGGGGCAAGGGACGGCAGGGATAAGAGGGGCAAGGGACGGCAGGGATAAGAGCGGCAAGGGACGGCAGGGATAAGAGCGGCAAGGGACGGCAGGGATAAGAGGGGCAAGGGACGGCAGGGATAAGAGGGGCAAGGGACGGCAGGGATAAGAGCGGCAAGGGACGGCAGGGATAAGAGGGCAAGGCGGCAGGATAAGAGGGCAAGGGACGGCAGGGATAAGAGCGGCAAGGGACGGCAGGGATAAGAGCGGCAAGGGACGGCAGGGATAAGAGCGGCAAGGGACGGCAGGGATAAGAGCGGCAAGGGACGGCAGGGATAAGAGCGGCAAGGGACGGCAGGGATAAGAGCGGCAAGGGACGGCAGGGATAAGAGCGGCAAGGGACGGCAGGGATAAGAGCGGCAAGGGACGGCAGGGATAAGAGCGGCAAGGGACGGCAGGGATAAGAGCGGCAAGGGACGGCAGGGATAAGAGCGGCAAGGGACGGCAGGGATAAGAGCGGCAAGGGACGGCAGGGATAAGAGCGGCAAGGGACGGCAGGGATAAGAGCGGCAAGGGACGGCAGGGATAAGAGCGGCAAGGGACGGCAGGGATAAGAGCGGCAAGGGACGGCAGGGATAAGAGCGGCAAGGGACGGCAGGGATAAGAGCGGCAAGGGACGGCAGGGATAAGAGCGGCAAGGGACGGCAGGGATAAGAGCGGCAAGGGACGGCAGGGATAAGAGCGGCAAGGGACGGCAGGGATAAGAGCGGCAAGGGACGGCAGGGATAAGAGCGGCAAGGGACGGCAGGGATAAGAGCGGCAAGGGACGGCAGGGATAAGAGCGGCAAGGGACGGCAGGGATAAGAGCGGCAAGGGACGGCAGGGATAAGAGCGGCAAGGGACGGCAGGGATAAGAGCGGCAAGGGACGGCAGGGATAAGAGCGGCAAGGGAAGGCAGGGATAAGAGCGGCAAGGGACGGCAGGGATAAGAGCGGCAAGGGACGGCAGGGATAAGAGCGGCAAGGGACGGCAGGGATAAGAGCGGCAAGGGACGGCAGGGAGCGGCGAAACAACGACTGAACGGTTCGTTGGACCACAGCGTCGGTTTGCCTCCTTCCCCCCTCCCTCATGCCAAGAATCGGCGCCAATCAGCAGTCCGCATATTGCCGGCCAATCCGCCACCCCCCCTATTCCCATCCCGCCATCCCCCGCCACCGTCCACATCTCTCCGCGCTCCCCTCAACACCCACCTGCCGATGCTGCGCCTCACGCGCGCCCCTGCCCCTTCCGCCTGCTCCCGCGACAGCAGCTTGCGCACGGCCTTCCGCGGCTGCTGAATCTCCGCCGCCGCCGCCGCCGCCGCCGCCGTCGTCGCAGCTGCCGCCGCACCCGCCGCTGAGACTGGAGCTGCGGCGGCGGCGGTGGCCATGGCGAGCGAGGGGAGAGCGAGGCGGCGAGAAAAGCTGCCGAGAAACGCGGACGTGGCGGGTGTGGCTCTAGGCGCTGGGGGAATGGCGGAGAGAGATGCGCGTGCGCGGAACGGAAGGCGGACGGAACTGAAAGGGTTGCGCTTGAGAAGCGCGGAGAGCATCTGGAATGCGAAGAGTGTCTGACACTCGCAGCTGAGGCGATTGTCGCTTGGAAGGGTTACAATGCGGTTGCTGACGGCGCGGTGAGAATAAATACCTCCTGGTCGACCACCGCCTGGTCACACGAATCTTTGTCTGCCGCGACTGCCACTGGCAAGACCATTGTTTCGTGGACACTTCGGGGAAAGCACGCAACTCGGAATGAAGCCTCCAGACGGACACCATTGAGGCGGACTCGATATGACGCCATAGTCCTGATGTGGAATACGGGCGTTTCGTAGTGGCTAATAATTGAATGGTAGAGGCTCATGTATGCTCTTGGGGGTATAAATCGGAATGTGATTGTTATGAAGCGCGAAGAGCATGTATCGAATAGTTGAGTAGCAAGAAAACAATACAGTGAGGCAACATCGGAACAACAGGGGGCCTGGATATAGCCTAGAGCACATGCTCGAGGCTCGGCAAAGCTGAGATGTGTGGTTTGTAAATTGACGCGAAGCGCCCAGATCTAGAAGTTGGGTTTAGAATAGCCCTATGATCTTTTCAGAAGGTTAAGTCCTTGTAACAGAGTGCTTGATAGCACCGCGGAAGTTTTGAGTGAACCCTCGTACTGGTATGTGAGAAGAAGTAATCGATTGTAACAAAGGGATACAAGGTTCATATAATAATACAAGAGAATATGAAGGGTCTAACTGTTTATGCACTTCGAGGGATACATTCCCTTTACGACTCGATAAGAGCGACACGGGTAACCACCCGTACTGTAATACCTACCGGGACAGTTATTTGTCCTTGCTGTCGCGCTGACTTGACTCTTGTACTTCTGACTGTTGGGTTGCACGGTCAACGGTCTGTGACCATAGCCCTTTTGTAACCTCTGCGAGGTGTCGTCAAAATGTGTCAACCATCAGAGGTACTATAGCAGGCTTTGACTCAGTAATCCTCGATGTTGTGTCCTTCGCGTATTGTTACAGCTACGCGATACTCCTGAAATGCCTTAGTTTTTTTATCGTTTCCAACACCCTCCAATTCTGGAGTGTCGACGTGGTCGAGGTTGCTGACATGTTGTAGTCCAGTCAGCAGCATACATTGCTGGAACTTCGACTTCATCAACTTCTTGGTCAAGTAGTCAGCTGCCATTTCGGTGGTGGGACAGCAGGCCAATTGGAGGCATCCCTGCTCGATCTCGTCTTTCACAAAGAAGTAGCGAAGCGATTTGTGCTTCGTCCTGTTTGCGAATCCATTTTTGTTGGCGATTTTGATCGTCGATTGGTTGTCGCAGAAAAGGGAGAAGCTCGGTAAGTCGGCCATCTTCGCTTCTTCTAGCAGCTCGCGCAGGTAAAGCCCTTCCTTTGTAGCCGTGCAGAGGGCGATATATTCAGCTTTAGCGGAGGAGAGGGAGATTAGTTCTTGTTTTCCCAAGTGCCAGGAGATAGCGCCAAAAGGCTCCAAGTGGTAGACGTAGCCAGTGCAGGAGCGTTTGCTGTCCTTGTCGTCGGCGTGATCAACGTCGACTTAGCCGATGAGCTCTGTCTTAGTGGTAGCATTCTTGTGGTAGGTAAGGCCGATCGTCGGGGTACAAATAAAGTAGAAGAGCACACGATTGAGTTCCTGCAGATTCCCCCCTTCAGGTTGCTTAAAGTATGTGGTGAGCTGACTAGCATGGTAGGAGAGATCAGGATGGCAGGTGATGGCGGCGAAGAGCAGACAACCCTGCTTCTGCAGGTATTCTTGGATGCCGACTGAGGCGAGTAGTGAGGAGGACGGCGCGAGAGTCGGCAACGCATAGAGGCACGGGGTAGTGAGAGGCAGCGGAGAGAGGTCAAACCACCGGGCGATAGTCTCGGCATACTTCGAAGCCGAGAGGTGGATGGTGTCGGGGCCATTGGTGATGTTGAGGCTCGTTAAATCCCTTTACGGGATCAAGCAGGCTCCGCGCCTGTGGCGGCAGTACCTGCATCGAATTCTCACCACCATGGGCTTCGCCCAGCTGCCCCAAGATCAGGGCATGTATCGCCTCTCTCGCAGCGGCGACTACGTGCTGCTCATCGTATATGTCGACGACCTTCTATTCGTCGGCTCCACTATCTCCATCACTGTCTGGTTCGAAGGAGAGCTACTGTAGAGCTCCATCTCACTATCATGGTCTCGCCTACCGTGATGCCGTACCCCAGCATGGGGTCGTCGACGTACGCGTGGGGCTGCTCAATGAAGCTGGCACACCAGTGAGGGCGTCGACATCGATTTGTCGCAGAGAGAGCTTGTGAGTGGCAACGACAGTAAGGAGGATTGGAGAGATGTGTGGCGACTAACAGGAGAAAATGTCTTGGTGTAGTCTTGGCCGTGCTGCTGGTCGAAACCGCGAACCACCCAACGGGCTTTGAAGCATTCAATGGTTCCATCAGCCTTTGTCTTCACACGGAGTACCCATTTTCCAAAGAGGATGGTCTTTCCCGTCGTTTGAGAAATTGGAATTAACTTCCAAGTGTTTCTCTCATTCAGTGCCGCTAACTCCTGATCCATTGCCTTCCTCCATTTTTCCCTGTGCGGTCCCTCCACAGCTTTCTTGACGTCTTTAGCTCCTCGACTGTCGGCGTAGCGGACGGCGGGTGTACAGATGCAACAAGTCCAAGTATCTGCAGGCCAGTCTCGGTGTAGGGGGGGATGGTAGGATCCTCGTCTCCCGCTTCAGGGTCAGGTCTGAAACCAGATCCTATGCGTTCGGAAACGTTGCTGTCGACGCGGGGTGTAACGTAACAGTTGTCAACGAAATGATAATATGCTTCAGCGTTCGCACTTTCGCGAGGATTTTCGTCTTCCATCTGCATGTCGACGGAGCATTTAGGTAGGGGTCCTGCAATTGCAAATGCGTCTGTAGTGTTCTGCTCGTCCAGGTCAGGTCCTTCGTCTGTTGATGCAAACACGCGTGCGCCAGCGAAGCCACCAGACGGGTCCTGATTGGTAGCGATGTTGTCGAGGTAGTGAGGAAGGCTAAGGTTTTCATAGAATATCACATCACGTGCTGGTACTGTTTCCTTATCTTCCATATCCTAGTTTTTCCATGCCTTGAAAAGATTTTACACACCGAGATGTAGTCCCCATCTTACTTGCTCCGAGAATCGTCCAGCTCCTGCAGTATGGGGTCGCTACGGTACCATGCAGCCGAAAACTCGTAAAAGTTTTTTGTTGCCCTGCTTCCCTGTCTACAGCAGATGCGGTGATGCGTTGTTTGGCAAGCAGCTAGACGGCAGAAGATTCTGCAGCATCACAGCGTGATTCATCGGCTCCGGCCACTATGAGTCGGGCAGTCGCATGCCCCGCAGCAGTTTCCTTATGGTGTTCTGGAGGGTCGTGTTCATCCTCTTTGCTATACCTCTTTGCTATACCTCTTTGCTATACCAAGAGGTACGTCGAGGTCGTCGTAGTTCGCGGCCATCCGGAAGTAGGAGTGCGTCTTTGTCAAGTACGTTAGCGTGGATTGTATTGAAGAGTCTTGAGTTGTCGGGATGACCTAACCTTGGGTGCCATGTTTCTTTGCTTGCTTTGTGTCCTACAAATCGCCGATACAGATCCGAGTTGGCGTCGAAGGTGGAGACGGTCACGGTGCTTCAATGCTGTTCGCGAGTATGCACCTCCAGCTGTGCGGCTTCAGTCGGTGGCAGTTCTTTGACGGGTGGTGTATCAGCCGAAGCTTCTTCGACGGGTGGCGCAGACGAAGTCCCAGCAATGGGATGAGCAGGGAGTGCTCATGTCGGTGCCTGTTGCTTGGTTGTTCGTAGAAGTTACGTGTCTCACGTTTCTCATGATTCTCGCATCACAGCTAATGCTCTTGAGCTCTCTACTTCAGGAATGGTGTAGGAGTACCAGAAGCCATCGTGGTCGAAGCCCGGGTCAAGGTCCGACGGGTGCGACCAAGTCGTGAAGGAGATGACGCCATCGCTGTCAATGGTGCTGCGGTCTGGGACGAAGTTCGACACCGTGCTTCTGGATTGCTCGACTGATGAAGAAGCCGCCCTTCCTGTAGTAGAGACGGAACTCGCGATCGAAGCTATCGCACTCCAGGTGAATGCTCTTGGACATGAGTTGACTGACGCTTAGCACGTTGTATCCAAGGTTTTCGACGACGAGTACCCTTGCCATCTGTGACACTACGCTTGTCTCGAGAGATTGTAACTGAACGACTCCCTCTTTGCGTCTGCGCAGGTTCTGGTTGTTGGCGACGGTGATCACGACCTCTCGGCTCAAGGTCTTCTCTCGCTGGACGAAGTGTGCCGAGGAACACATGTGTTGGCCACAGCAGCTGTCAAGGAACCAAGTGTTGCGGCCAAACGGTTCGTCGTGGGCTATCGCAGTATAAGTCGGGTTCGGTTGGATCCGGGTCCATGTCGGAGCAGGTGGACGCTCGTCGAGGTCGCGGTGAGGCGGAGATTCAAGTAAACAGTAATCAGTGCGCGCCATGCAGCTAACGACGTTTCTTGCATCTTGTGCAGGGTGGTTCGTCGAAGCTGGCGGGCGTTGCTGAGTTGAGGCAACCGCACTCGAAGACGGACGAGGCGCTCGGGGCTGATACTGCTGAGGTTGCGGCTGCTGCCTTGGACAATTGAAGTGCAAATGTCCTGTGGTGCAACAGAAATGGCAGAATGGAGGTGAATGTTGTTTTTGGTTCTTATTGTTGTTGCGCCCGTGCGTGTAGAACACAAGTTGCTGACTTGATTTCTTGGCATGGCGTTCTTCGTACAGGTCCATGTCCTGTTGCTTGGCGTGGAGCTCCATGCACAAGGGCATCTCGAAGATTCTCCCATGGGCCTGGAAGAGGGAGCGTGTCGTACGCCACTGAGAACCGAGGCCAGCGAGGATGACCGTGACGAAGGAATATTCCGATAAGTGCCCACCACTTCGTAAGAACCTGACGCATAAACCTCTGCAACGATTGATGTACATCACCGCCTTCTCTTCTGCTTGCATCTAAATCGTTGTAAGTTGCACCATGAGTCGGCTTTGAGTTACACTGTCAGAGGCTTGGTAGACACTCTTCAAGTGACAGTAGGTAAGCTCAGCCGAGTTGCCGAAGATGCGATATGTCGGATGCTTTG